TTCCAGATCCACTAGCAAGTTCTATGCTTCACTTTAAAAAAAAAACTTTTTAAAAATATCAAAATGCCCCAGTCCCCCCACCCCACCCCACCCCACCAATTTTCCTCTTTTAATTTTTTTAAATAGCTGCATGTTATCTATAAATAATAATTTGGCACTTCAAAATTGGGAAAAAGTGCGTCTTTTTAAACAGGATATGTCGAGCATATTCCTAAAGGTTAACTGACCCACAGAGTAGACATTCTGGTGAGATACAGTAATCATTCCAAATAGGCAGTGGATATAAATGTTCCTTTAATGCAGCCCACTCCCCTTCTTGAGATAAGTTCCTGAAAAGAGAGATAGGGAAACATTTTTGCAGGTCTAATAGGTGCACTTTTGAAGGTGCTCTCCCCACCCAGGTATGGCCCTTGGGTTTTCTGGATGCAGGGGTAGGGAGAAAAGAGAGATGCAGACAGGATGCAGATGGGGGAGAGGAGGGGAGGAGAATCAGCTCCAAAAGTCTTTATAAAAAGAGTGGGGGGGGGGGTTGGCACAGAAGGTCCTACGAATATTCTCAGCAAGGACCCAGATGGTGCAGATGCTATTGGCCAGGATGGCTCTGCCAGTGAGGGCTTGTGACCTGGTGCCTGCTATTCTCCCAGGCAAGGAGCTCTGCAAGCTCTCACTGGACTTGCTGCCCAAGGTTCTGTTAACTGGAAATGCCACGGACTGACCCAGAGCTTCTGTGCACACGCCTGGTGTGGTACCACAAACAGGCCTCAGACAGGCCTGATAGCTTTGGACAACAGACCAGACTGTGTGTGTGTGTGTGTGTGTGTGTGTGTGTGTGTTGGAGAGAAATTACAAGCTGGATGCCAGATTTTGTTTTGGAACAATAGCCATATGTGTGTGTGTCTTTGTGTGTATGCATGTATATATACACACACACCAGCTACCATGTCCTCTGGCACTAATTTTAAGTGCTCAGCATTTGAACTCAAGCCTCACTTCTCCTGGGCAATAAACCCAGATACTAGAACACCTGAAAGCAAAAACTGGCAATTCAGCTGTACAGTACAAAGGGTTAAGGAAGTCCAGTGAATTTCAGTGCCTGGCACCTGGATTTCCCAGATGTAAGAGCAAGGCAGCAGGGGAGACGGACTGCTTCCGGTTGAATGAATAAAATTCAGAACTTCCTTCTGATCTACTGCCAGGAGCAGGGAGCTGGAGTGGTGGCAGGGGTATCCAGGGCATGAGGGCCTGTATTCTGGTTTTCAGAGGGGGAGGTATAAGGGCCAAAGGAAGGAGCTTTTTCAAAAACAAAGCAAAATGCTACTTGCAAACTGATGCGCTAAAGGGCCTTGTATATTTATATTTCTTTATTCTGAGTTCTAGTCCATTCTATCTATCCTAAAACCCCATGACAGAAAGGTTGGTAGCAGGCCCTGTGATCTGGGTGGCTCAGCCACTGGGAGAGTCCCAAGTTATGTTCTCTAAGAGGATCATCAGGGTAGAGAATTCAATACTGGCCTCTGGAAATTTCCCCCTCATTGGCAGGGCTCTGTATTTGTCGTGACTCTGCAGTAGCACAAGGAGACCATAAAGTGTGGCACAGGTCCACATGCAAGCCCTTGGCTTCTGTTTCCAAAGGGAAAGCAGAGAAAGCAACTTTCTGGTCTTTATGGTTTCAAAAATGTGCTTGAAAGCAGATGGGTGGCAAAGATGTCCAGTCATCAGAAAGGGGGCTGCAGTAACTCTTTGGCCTTCCCCACCACTAGCATAAGAGAAACGATGAAAAAATAATAAAAGCTGTAGAAGTATGCAAAAGATGGGAAATTATGCCAACTGGCTTCCCCCAAGTGGCAAAACCCTCATTTTCCTTATTGCAGAAGTTGAGTTTTCTTGGCACTGGATTCTGACACTGAAGTACACACAGCTCTGCCGGTGAGCTCTCAAGCAGAAAGAAGGAGAGAGGAGAAAACACCCAGAAGGAGTGAGAACCACAGCTTTGGAATATACTGTCAAAATGTCTGCAGCATTTTGGGGAAGAAGATCCAGGGAAATGTCCCTTTTGTGTCTTATGCATCCACAGTATTTAAAAAGACGCAGACTAAGAGTTTGGCACAGAACGTTTCCTTATCCCCCCCACCCACCCCCCCGACAAAAGTCCTGATATGCAACACACTTCTGAAACAGCAGCAATATTTTGTTCATCATAAAAACTGGGAGGCCCAGAATCTCAGCCAGTGTAAATAAAGGCATTTAATGGCCGGCATGGTTTCTTTTTTTCACTAGCTGGCAAGCCTCTCGTAGATAAAATACTAAGCTGCAGCAGCTCTCCTCACTCCATAAAATCAGTGCAAGATGCTATATAGATATTGCTTCCTTAATTTTTTATAGTATATAAGTTTCACATTTGAGTTTTGCTCCCTAGTGGTTTTAGACTCTTAAGACCCTCCCTTCAAGGAAACAGAAACGAAACACACACAAAGGGATTAATTCTCCCCCGGCATATCCATCCCAGACTGCCCTCCCCCTCCCCCAGAGCTGGACTAAGGATGGGCCTTACCTATCCACTGATCAGGCCTACTCCAGGAACCTACAGAAAGATGCAGGAATGCGCTAACTTCTCCCCAGCCCCACAGACACCTCCCTCACCCACCTTCAAAAGCTTTTGGAAGAAAGGGTTTCCCTCTAGTGGTAATTAAAATATTGCACAATTCCACACCTCAAAGCTGGGGTAAGAATGCAAGACAGCTGACCTTCTAGGCAGCAAGAGAAAATCCTGTGCTAATGGAAGTTTCAAGTGCGTTCAGAAGCAATCAAATCACAAGAGATTTTCTCTCCCCCCACCCCAGTTTCTTTCCCCCACCAAAAACTTAAACTAGACTATTCCAAACACACTCCTGGCAGCTCCTACCCTACTGGAAACATCCCAGCCATTTCAAGTGGGATTACCTCTCAAATTCAGCTCTAACAGAAATCCCCTGCCGGCAACCCTCACCGAATGCCAATATGCACACGCGAAGACGCTCCAAAAGGACAGCACTCTAGCTTGCGTTTGCCGCAACGGCTGTGAGGTCCCCCCACGGGAACACGCGCACGACCCGAAAGGACGTTGCATGCTACACAATGGTGCGATTCAGGTAGACGTCCACTTTGCATCCGAGACCTGACACAGGAAGCAGCCTGCTCTGAAAAAGGAAATGCCATCACGACACAGTACGTCGGCAACATGAAGTTCCCACTCAACCTCTGAGCAGCCTTTTAGTCAAAGAGAAAGAAGGAAGGAAAAGACTGATGCAACCCTGCCCTGGATATTGCAAGGCAGTGCTGTGCATCTTCTCAGCCTTCTGGCAAACCCAGGGCTTGTGCAGCCGCGAGAGACACAGGCCAATCAACGCACAACAGCAAAGCTGGAGTGAAGGGAATATTCTGGCACCTTCAAAAGCAGGCTGGACCAAGTGCTCCCCATAATTTAGAAGAGGCCGCGAGCCCCGGATGCAAACACTGCAGGCAGGGAAACGCCCTGATTTCTGACTCTTTTTGTTTGCTTATTACCCTCTGAAGGGTGGGTGATCAGGGCGCAAGACGAATGGCGCAGATCACGGAATGGCTAGCAAATACTTATCAGTAAGGCTAGACTAAGCTACAACACTGCCCGGGCTTTTACCACCCAGCTGAAATCTGCTATCTGGATTGCAGGGAAATGGCTCAGAAGAGGGGAGCCATGCTAGCTTCTGCCCTACATCTCTAAGGTGCCGGCCCAACATGGCCGACCCCTTGAGGAAATACGCACGAAGGCAGAGGCATCTGCAGCAGGGAAGTGATGTCCTGCCGCATGGTCACTAGGGACAAAGGTCATCTCGCCGTTGTGGCTTAGTAATACTGCTTGTTTACAGCAAGGGAGTAAAGAGGCAAGCAGGGTGAGTCAATTAGGACGGGGACTGGAAGGGATGCTTGGCAGCCCCTTTGCCAGTGGATGGCTTTGCTCAGAGAACACGGCATTCGATAAGGGGCGTTTTCTTTCCAGTCATTCGGCCACCTGGGTTTTACCCTGAGGGATGGTGCCAGCAGATACTGTTGGGGTGCCTTTTGCTGTTGGTTGTGTCTTGTAAGAAAATATGCCACTAGATTAGAGGGCATCCCGTGAAATGAAGGCTCTCTTCCTGCTATCAAAACACAACCTAACACACAAGAGCAGAGGCGATTTATCCATGAGGGTTCGGAGACAACAGGAGGTAACCAAGCGCATCGTGGGAAGGAGACCACTACCTCGTGGCATCACGTAACGAGGTCGCTCATGCCGCCTGGCACAGGAATGGGAGCCCGGCTTTCGGCCCGCGAGAAGCAGCCCTGCCCCTGCTGCTGGGCACTTGTGTCCGCGTGTCGCGGAGGCCTGCTAGTCTCTCTGCACCGGTGCCACTCGTAAAATCACAGAAGCAATCCGACCACCTCGGAGGCCCCGTTTCCTAGCAAGCCTGGACGTGCCCTTCACAAAAATTCTCCACCCTGGGTACTTGGATCCAATTCCTCCTGACTTCTCCAAGCGATGTTTTCTGGGATAATACAGGGACACGCCTCATCTACAAACCTTTTATCCAAGCATCACACTTTTATTTTTTGATTGGCAGGGCTAGGAAATGGGAAAAAGGACAGACACACATTTCTCCTTCCCTAAGGAAAACGATGGCATGGAAGATTTGCTTAAAGCCCACCAAACCAAACAGCAAGGCAATTTCCCCAGTCCAAAGCCCATGCCAATCCAATCCCCTCCTTTCCCTACCTCACCTTAGAATGATCTAGGCTACTTCAGGTAGAAAAATCCATCCTTTGCTTCTCTGCAGAGATGGGTGAATTAGATAAAGCAAAGAGATGCATCAATTTTAGAGTTTAAGATCATGCAGCTGCTAGTTCAAGACCACGATGCCACGATTTCAGCTCAGATCTGCTCCATTCCCATATGTACTTTGAAACCCAGTCTGAGGGTGGGCATAGAGAAGGATACGCATAACCCATCAAGAAATTCTTAAGTTGATCTATACTCTGGGGAGGGGGAAAGAAGCCTTAAGAGACAGATCCTTCTCCGTCAAGATCGTTGGTTAAGAAAATCAGAAATAAAGAGGGAAAGAAAGAGAACTTTTTCTTAAAAATGTTTTCTATTAAAATTGATCAACTCAAAAAAAAGAAAAAGAAAATGTTGCCATATATATATATATAGATATATACACACACACATAAACAGGTCACGCCATTGGCGAAACAGAGTTCCTGTAGAACGAGTGCTGGGTTGCTTTCAAGTAAAGGGGAGGGGGGTGTAAGTGTGTAAGACGGGCACTGGGCAGGGGCTGGTGTTGGGTAGGTTACATTTTAATGATTCAAGAATTGATCTGAATTCTACACCTTCCCCCAGCCTTCTCTCCAGCCTTCTCTTATCCCACTTTCTGTGGATTGGTGGCTCGAACTCCTTGCTCATACGTTACTCGCTGGCTGATAAGATATTGCGCCGCTTGCGTAGCGGCCGGAGTGCCTGTGATGGTGACTTTACGGTTCCTAGTACCAGGAATAAACTCCCCTTTTTTGGAAATCTGGATGCGGGCGCCTGTCAGCTCTTGATACTCAACCAGCGTCTTGCCGCCTTTCCCCAAAATGGCGCCCACCAGGTTCTCCGGCACGGCGATCTCTACCATATCTTTGGCGCTTTCCACTAGCTTCTCTGTTGCTAAGAAGGAGCTGGCCACCAACGGAGAGGCTGTCCCCAGATAGCCGTTGGCGGCCCCGGTGGCTGCGGCTAAAGAACCCAGCGTGAAGGCGCCAACCGCGCCAGCTGGGGTGGTGGTGCTGGTGGAAGCTTCGTTGGCGTAGGAGGCTAAGAGGTTGGCGGCAGCGGCGGCAGCTGGGTTTGCACCAGCAGCTACAGCTGCCAGCACCCCGGAGGCAGCGGCTGAGTTGAGGCCGAGCCCCAAAGAACTGGTGTTGTATCCATAGCTTGCCAAGGTGTTGAGAGCTGTGCTGATGGCCAAAAGGTCACTGCCGGAGAACCCTGGCAGAGCCGCGGGAAAGGCTCCTACTCCAGCGAGGCTGGTGTGGCCCAGCAGGCCCGAAGCGGTGGCCGCGGCCGCAGCAGCTGGCAACACGTCCGTGGAGTTGGCATAGGGCGATCCCGTTGGGTTAGAGTTGGCCACGGGGCCGGTGATGTTGGCGTAGCTGATGTTGAGGCAGCTGCTGCTCTGTGGGTCCTCCTGGACCTTCTGCACAATGATGTCCACGGCCTTGTGGATCTGCTCCGGCTCGCCGCTGATGGTCACCACGCGCTCCTGCAGGTTGATGCCCTCCGGCTTCTGGCTCAGTTGCACCCAGGCTCCAGACTGCTCCATGATGGCCTTGACTGTGGCGCCCCCCTTGCCGATGATCAGCCCGGCTGTGCTGTTGGGAACGATCACCTTGGCCTGCAGGTGGGGAGGGGGGAGAATAAAAGAAGCAGTGATTGCTGGGTGTCTCAGTTACATTTACACATGGCCCGGTCTCTGCGGCTCCAGGACCTTCGGCATGCCCAGCTTCCACAGGCAGCAGAGCTAATAATTTTTTGGTTGGATTCATTTCCTGCCTCCCCTCCAGGCAGCCCACGGCTGCGTACACGATCCTCCTCCCCCCCCATTTTTATCCTCACAACGACAATTCTGCGAGGCACGTTAGGCTGAGAGTCTTAGTGGTCCCAAATCACTCAGTGAGTCCCCCCAGCAGTTCTTGGCTTGAGTGGCAGCAGATGGCAACCCGGCAGGAACAGGAAGCTGTCTGCAGGCCAGTGGCAAGACACTCGCGTCCTCCCAGGCAGCACAAGATGGGCTCAGGGGTCTGAAGAATTGAGAAACGTCTTCCAAGAGAATCCTGGGCAACTTATTTCCGTCATAAATATGACAGCACTGACTGTAGAGGAGAGAGATTATGAAAAGGCACAGTGGGTCAGGATGCATTTTAACTTAGGGAGGGCCCGCTGCTCTCTACGGTTTGCCATTGCCCGCGAGAGACCCGGGTGTCTCGCCTTGCTTGCTGTTACTCCCACGGAGGCCAGCCCAGCTTCTCTTTTCTCTCCTTTCCAACCAGACCCAACACTTCTGGTCTAGCACAAATGATGTCTGGAAGGCATCCTTCAGCACCACGGAGAGCGGCCCCCTCCCTGCGCTCTGGCACTAGCCTTCCTCCCTGCAAAGGTGGACCAGACTGCCGGGGCCATGCGTCGCCCTCACCCCTCAAGCCCCACAGTTCCCAAAGAAGGGGCACAGCCAGGAAGGGCTTCGGTTCTTCCAGAACAGGGAACTTGCAGCGGATGGCTGCCGATGGTTCCCGGCTTCTGAATGAGCTGGAGTCCCTGCCTTCTTGGCTCCTGACACACAGAAATGCACAGACACAAACACACAATTGGGAAGGCTGTGCTTATAGCCATGCATGCTCTGTGTTAAGAAGGGGGGAATCAAAATCCTGCTCCAAAGGAGCTGAATTCTGCAGCCTGGTTACATTATGCAAATAAGAGATATTTACATAACCAATTCTATTTCATAGAATTGATTGAACTCCTAGTAGAAATATAGGGGGAAAAGCTATGCTTGACATGGAAAATTCAGTTCCTATAGACTTCCTACCAATTTCACTGCCTTCCAGTATGTCTGCAGGCATTGCTCACTCAGTTGCAATCAACCTCACCTATTTTCAAAACCATGAGGGCCAGAAAGTTGCTTTTTATCTAAAACACACACACACATGAAAGAGGAGAGTTTGAGGAAACAGAATTCTGGAGGCAACATTATGTTTTGTTAATTGTGTGCGCTTTGCCAGAACTACTGCCTACATGCAGTTGTGCTTCCAACACACTCAGTGTATATCAAGTGTGTGTGGTGGCGGTGGTGAGAAATGTGATTGTGTGTGTGAAGGAGGCTGTTTCAGTACTGGGGGTTGAATGAGACATTCTGAGAGAGTCTTCAACACTCCCTCTGGTTTCATCGATTTCAGCAGGTACTGGCCAGGTCTGTGAATGGGTTGAAAGACGAAAAAGGAGGAAGATGGGAGGAAAGCGTGGGGCTGGAGAGTGAAAGAGGGCGCATTCAGCGCGATGGCTTCAGGGGCTCTGGGAGGAAGGAGGAGGGGGCTCCCCAACCCTGCCCACCCCACCCCACCGCCTTTACGTAACTGCTGAGAAAGAGAAAGCCACACAGATTTAGCGAGGAAATGCGCTTATGTAATCAGCCCCAGGCACCTCCCAAAATCCATTGCCTCGTACAACCCACAGCAGTGGTGCTGGATTAGTGGCAAAAGGGAGAGCTGGAGCAGGAGAAAGTCCTTCTGGGTGCTGCTTCCTGGCTTTGAAAACCGTGTGAGCTGAGCATGAGCCGCATCCTCCGGGCAGGAGGATCCGACCCACTCAGAACCCTCATCGACGGCCCGGACATTTCTGTGGTCATGCACACCCCTAAGAGGTAGATGACCTGGCCCAGGTCAGACTCTGTCCCCGGCACTCCCTGAAGCAAGAGGCCTCCCACCCGAGGACGTGGCGAGAACATGCAAAACGAAGCAAGGCCGGGCCCCCGTATGGACCTAGAGAGGCAGATGACGGATCGCCCTCTCCTAGCGCTGCGCTTTCTGGTGCTCGGAATACTCTGTGGCTGCCGGGGCCACTTCTCACCACCACCCCTGCCCAGCACAGGAGGACAGGTCCGTGCTTGCCCTGTTGGGTTTCTCGGGCACGCTGATGGCCTCACTGTAAAACCGGGGCGATACTTTTTCCTCTCTCAAAAAGGACAAGGGCCGCAGTGTGTCCTCGCCAGGCTGGCTGAGGGAGCGACAGAAGCACTGCATGAGAGGAGAAGGAAAGCCCCAGCGCGAAGGGGAGCCACCCTGCCCCGGCAACCAGGAATGTGGGGCTGGCTACCGTGGACCACCGCACGGCATATGAGCGGCCCTGCTTTGGGGAAAGATGCATGCCCGCAGCAGCTGGCTTAACTTATAAACACCTTGGGTGGCCCTGTCCCAATTCGTGTCCCATTTCTGGTTATTTTAGTACTCTCATCACAGAAGCAGTAACCTTGCTGAGATATCCTCCGGGCTAGGCATTGGACAAATACCTCTCTGCTTTTCACTTCCCAGCCATCACCCTGTCCCTTCATAAAATTATAGGAGGCTGCCTGACTCCATGGGAGACCTATCGTTTGCCCGTTTAATTGCTTTCTGTAGGGTTCAGTGCACATATACTTGCTCACCGCTTTGTGGATGGGGAAGTACTTTTAATCATGCCTTTGTTTGCTCGTCACCCTGAGACTGCTTTTAAATGACGAAATATAAAAATTCAAAAGAAAAATAATCAATTTCCAAGTCTTTGTAAGAGAGAGGAGGAGAGAGGGAGCTCTGAGGGACAGCTGGGCTTTATGAGTTCGGAAACGGGAGTTGGCTACTGTTTTATTTCTCTCCTTCACAGCAGCAGCCCTAGGAGCCCCTTGAATCCATCTTAGCTCCTGCTAGAGCCTAATTCAAATGTCCGCAAGCTTTGCCCAGTCTTAGGACTCTGGCCATGCAGACTTCATGACTTCTCCCCTTTCCTCTTTCTCCTCCTCCACACACCATTTGCAACAGTTTTTCTGTTGACGTGATGAAGAGATCTGATGATCTTGAAAATGTGGACATTTCTGCGACCAGCGAGCCGGGCTAATAAAGCTACTGCCATAACAGAGATGTTTTGGTTTTACATCTCCCTGTTCCAAAAAAACAAAATAAATACTACGTTTCAAGAATCTGTCTGTCTGTCTGGTGCATGAAACCTGCAGCGTGGCTACCAGTCAGAGAAGCCCAGCCCAGCCCAGCCCAGCCCAGCCTGGTCTTCTCCAGATGTGTTGTGACTGGGGCTGGGGAATGCTGGGAGTTTAGTCCAAGCAATTTGGAAGGTTCCAAGTTGAGGAATGCAGGGGGGATCCGAATCGGGATGAGTCAGTGTCAGATGTTAATGTGGAGAGGCTTGGAGTATTTCCGAAGGGCTTCCTAGCTACCGCTGTAGCCTACCGGGGGGGGGGGGGGGGCAGATTCGTCATTCTTTCCCCTATATCCTGGCAGCCATGTAAACCCCTCCTTTCAGACACGCTTCCTGACCCTCACTTGATGGCAACTCTGCCATCTTCCTTGTTTTTCTACTTTCAACCCAAAGCTGCCTTTCCTTTGAGTTGCCATAGCAACGGCACAACCGACTGACAATGAAAATCTGCAGATCTGCAGTCCGGCTTCTTCTACACACAGCAACTTGAGCAGAGGGGGGTGAAGGAAGCGCACACACACACACGGACACACACACACGGACACACTCTCGGCTGCCTGTTTTGTCCATCCATTCCTGATGCGACACCTCTATAGGGACAGATACCGGCCCAGGATTTCTGCATGCTGCTGGCATTTTTATAAGCTAGCAATGTTTTTAAAAATATATTGATGTCAATTGCGATTTTAAATTGTTAAACTTGTTTATTCTGGCTTTTGCTTGGGGAAAGCCAAACAATCCACCCCAAATTTTATGCAGAACTATAACTGCCTTACTTCTTTACTTCACCTGCATAAGTGGCACCTCTCAGAAAGAACCCAAGCATGAAAATGTGCACAGCATTTGAATCTGATTTTGAAAAAGCTAGCCAAATTTGAAGCCGAGTGTCATGCCAGGCATAGTGTGTATCGCAGGAAACCCTTTGCTACCTTTTGAGCCCTTCCAAAAATGTTTCATAGTATTTAAATATCAACCAAAGACTAAGGCTCAGACCATCCTGTGAAGAGTAGATTTATCAGAGCGCTATTAGCTATGCCCACTAAATGGAACCTCCATGTTCAGAAGTAGCCTATCACTCTAAATCTCAGGGCTTAGGACAAATAATAGTGTGACTCCTCTTCAAATAACGACAATCATATCAAAAAGGAAGATGTGGGGTTAGAGCCAGACTTCCTCAACACGACACCTTTCAGATGCATTGGACTGCATCTCCTGTCATTCCCAGGAAAGGCTGGGGGTGGTGGGAGGTGTAGTCCAACATATTTGGAAGGGGCCGGGTGGAGAAAACTTGGCTGAGCTTGGTCCGAGCCAGCAGAGGTTTCTTTGTGACTGTCTCTTGAGGGGCACTCTAACCCAGCTTCTCCCAAGTCCCCCGAGTGTGAGGCGTTCCATGGGCAAGATGGCTCACCTGCTTGGCCCGGTCAGGGTTCATGGTTGTCTGGGGCTGCAGGATGTTGACTGACTCCGGCTTCACCACAGACTGGGGGATTTCTCGGACTTTCTCGGCGATGAAGTTGTGCACGGCATTGAGGGCTTCCGCTGTGCCTTGGACGAGGCACACGCGTTCCGTGGTCCCTGCATGAGCCAAAAGAATGTGGCACGTTTAAGTTGGAACTGCTCTGGGCTGACGGCACCATGGGAGGGGCTCTTTGCAACCGCCTGGTCTCCCTTTGTGAAACCTGGTGGGGACTGCAGGTGCAGGGGGGCGGGGGGGGGGAACAGTCTGGCAAGAAGATGGACAAGCAAGGTAGGAGGAGGATGCTCCAGAGCAAAACAACACAAAAAGAAACCTGCTTTATACCAGCCGAGTGGATTTCTTTTAAAAAATCCAGCCTTGGAGGAGAGGCAGTGGCTCTCGGGGAAGAAAGCTCTTCCCCACCCACTGCTCTCTGATCCTTTGACTTGGAGCGGTCATAGAACCCAGGACTGTCTGTGAGCAAATCATGCGCTCAGCCACACAGCTCTGACCTGTCCAGCTAGGATGCAGTCAGAGCCATTCGGCAAAAGAAATGGGAGCCATCGCCAAGGCGCACGAGGCCAGAAATACAGCAAGGCGGCCCTGCAACGCAGCGCTGCAGTGAGGAATGCTTCTGTTCAGGCTGGCCAGCCAAGCACGCCCTGTCCTAGAATACGCCACCCCATTATCCCCCAGCTCCCACCCCCAGCCACTCTGTGCTCTGTGGCCAGGGAGCATGCCGAGTCTCCACCGGGCTTTCCGCCCCCCTAGGGTCTTCCCGCTAAGGGTTTTCCGTATTTCTGCAACTACACTGGGTTCTCCGGCCTGCGCTGGCCACTCCCTCGTTCTTCTCAGAGCCACTCGAGGCTCGCCGTGGAGTGCGGCCCTGCATGGCTGCTCTGTCCGATCCCGCGGTGCTCAGGGTGGCAGAGGGGGCCAATGAGCCAGGGGCTGCGGCACCGCCGGGTAGGGCTTGAGCCTCCGAGCCTGGCAAGGTCCCAGACGAATCCCGAGAAGCACTCCTTGCATTAAGAGGGAGGCTGATCCCGTACCGACAGTGGCTTTCCTCCCATTGCAAGGAGCAGGGGCTGCAGCAGAGGGAGGGCCCCCTCATCCCACGCGGCTTTCCTGATCCGGCTCACTGCCCCCTCCCGCCACGCCGGCTATTGGCTGCAGAAAAGGCAGTCACACCGAAGCCGACTGTGGGGCAAGTAACTCATTGCGGGCCCCATCCTGGGCCATCTGCACACACCGGCTGTTGCAGGGAGTGAGGATGCCGCACTGGCCGAAGGACCACAAGGAACCACCACCCCGCACCTGGGCACACCCTTGGTGCACACTTGCAAAACCTCACATTGTATGAAAAGACAAAGCCCCCAGGATCCTTGCCTTCCTTGAGGAGAGCAAGTGAGCCAGGAATAAATGAGCGCATGAAGCAAGAGCTGGATCCCTGCCACTGAGAGGCTGGGGAGGAACGGAGGGCATCGACCGGCGGGAAGGGGAAGGGGACGGGGGAGGCTCTGGGCCACCTGGGCAGGCGGGGAGGCCGGCGCCATGGACACCGGCAGGCGAGGGAGGGCCCGCGTTCTCCCGCAGCACCCCTTCCGAGGCGGGCCGGCGTCTTCCGCCTCTCTCCCCTGCCTTCGCCTCGGCTGCTGCCTCAGCAGCGCGGCTCGGCTGCCCAGTCGCCATGGCAACCCACCGCGGCCTTCTCCCCACTGCCACCTCGCCGGCTTCCTGGCTGCAGGCCTCAAGGGCCCGTTGTCACGGCAACTGGCACCCTCTCATCCACCGGAGGAGGAATGCGCCGTGGGGGAAGGGCAGGAGACCTTCACTTGGGCAACTGGACAATGGGGGGGGCGCACCCCCCACGTGTCTGCAGGAGTGAAGCCCCATGATGGACAGGGAGGGAGCCTGGCTGGGGTCCCCTGCGTACCAGCGATGGCAGCAGCCCCGGTGAGAAAGCAGCCTGCGGCAGCCAGCGACACTTGGGGCGGTGTGAAGGAACCCCAGACCCAGAATCCCCTTTTATTCCTGAAAAACAAGGGCTCAGCCCCTTCACGTGATACAATGAAGGAGACAGCATCTCTGAGTACGTGCAGAAAGCCTTCCGGAACGGCAGTTAATGCCACCCCTCTGGGAATGCAAGGAGGGAGCCAAAGCACCACATCTTGAAACACTGGCCACAAGTGCCATGCGGCCAGGGGAGGCTTCCTGCACGACGTGCGCCCTGTTGGCGGTCCTCACCACCGCCCTGCGAGGCAGCCAATATTATGACCAGGGCGGGGGCACACCGGCTTGCCTAGCTTGATAGGTATTTGCTGTCCGTTGTGACACACATACACAGCTTCCAAATACGCAGGCACCGAGAGGTTCCACCACAACCGGGCCTTCTCCCTGCGCGTGCCAGTCACGCTGCCGCTATCAAATCAGGCAGGCTCCATGGTGCCCCTCCTGGCAATCCAGGGAGCTGCCACCCCAGGCCAGGCGAAGGGGGGGGCAGGGGAGGCATGGCTGGGGGGAGGAAAGCTTCCGAGGGCCGGCGTTCGTTACCACCATATGTGCAGCCTCTGTACTTTAAAAGCTGCACAGCAGGCAGCCTCATAAAATCCAGCATCTTCGCTTCTCTGCAGCCTGTGAGTCCATGGAACTCTTGAACTGCTGCCCTGTTACACATCTGTGAATGGCCCAGGAGCCAGTCGTGAAAAACAGCTGCCAATCCTCTTGAGAGCACCAAAGGTGCCGTGCTCACGTTTTCTGGACTGGAAGAAGCAAGCCCAAGAATCATGGACAGTTGCTGTGGGTACCAATGTTATAACTAGTAATTATTTCTATATATTAAAAAAAAAACAGATTCTACCAACTGCAATAGCAGAGTAGTCAGAAACGACCAGTGTTTTAAGTGAAGAAGCGTTTGGATTTTTCAACAATAAGGCACAGAAAAGGTTGCCAATCAGTTGCTTGAAGCACCTTTTGACTGAGCTTTTGCTTTGCTTTTTCTAGTGAGATGGCTTTTCCTCCCCCAGACTTTCACCAATCATCTAGAAATTTTCCGGGCATGAAAATCCACCATGTCTTTCTGGCACCTGGACATTTCAGGAAGATTGGTAAAACTGTTCTGATTTTATCCGGGGCTGAACAGTCCAGACACACGGACCCTGATCACCATTTAAAACGGTGGGACTCATTTTTTACTCCCCAGCATCGCAACGGGGCTGGCCATAGCATTGTTCTAACAGGGAGCTTGTACGGTGCTGCGTGAAATGTAGAATTCTCAGTGCTCCACTGCTGGGAGGGATAATTGTGTGGGGAAGTATTTGTTTGACTAGCCATGGTGCTGGAGACAACGAGATGTAGGAGATATTTTGCTGGGATCTGGTGAGGGAGAGCCGAGTTCAGACTGTCACTCATGCATACCCTCTCTCTCCCAGTCCTGCACAAAGTTTACTATTTTATAAGGGCTAATGATAGCTCTACAGACAATGATGACTAATCGTTACTATAAAGCAACAGTATAATTCTAGCACAGCATTGTAAAAAGTTGCTCCCCCATGCTGAGTAAGAAGTTTTTGTAAACTACTCTTCAGACCCACCCCACACCTTTCTGCAACTCATTGATGTACTCCAAATGACTTGGGGCCAAACCATACACAGAATACTTTTCGGCTTAAACTGACTGCTTTTATTTCAAAGGAAATGCAGCTGGGCAGGGTTATGTTCCAAATTGTGGGCCCACATGGGTTTCCTTCCTTGCTCTCAAAATAAAAGTAGTTGCCCCCCTCACACCCTCCCTTTTAATGTGTGTTTAATATCACCTGTATGTTAGCTGTCATACAGTTTTCTGAGGGCAGCTAGTTAAGCTTTCTGAGGTCTAGCAGCTTGCATGTTCTTATTTGCAAGTCTGCCATGAGAACACCGTGGCTTTCCCCAGCTATTCAGCTTTTCCTCCTGTCATTGTTCCTACAGTTTGGACAGGGTGCCTGAGGCATTACGCACACAGGCTGCTTCCATCCCCACTTCCTCTGCGCTGGGTCACAAAACCCCCTTCCAGCCTCTCCTGCTGGAAGCATGTTGCCAAGGGGCCGCCCAGTGGCCGAGCCCACCCCTTTCCCAGTGTAACCAGTTCCTGTGTCTATGCCCTCTCAGGAACCAGGATGCTACCCCTTCTCCTCTCATCCTCCTTCCTGGTGGGTCCATGGTTCCTTTCCTGTCTCCCTTTGAAGGGGGGGTGGAAGCCAGGCAGCGGCTCTCGAATCTGGATAAGGGGCTAACATGCAACCTGGCCGGGCATGGCGGCGGCGGCAGCGCCTGCGTCCCTCCGGCCACCTTATCAGAGGAGTATTTCCTGCCATTGAATCCGTTTCCCTTGCTGGCCAGCCCAGCCCGCGTTTCCCGTTTCCTTTCCTGGCACTCCCCCCACACCGCCACTGCCTCTGGCCCCATCCAGGCCTGCCGTTGCCGAGCGCACGAAGCCCCACGCCGTTGCCGTGCGCACAAGTGCTGGGGGGCTTGAACACACCGTCATCCATGCAGGACCGGCAGCCCCGGTCCACCTCCCCAGGCGTCAGGGGCCTGACCTTTAGAAGGGGGCAGAACCCGAAATCCCACGGGGCCGGGGCAACAATGCATCAGGACCTGCCCCCCCCCCCCACCCCCAGACTTTGGCTCCAGTCCTGCCTCCAGCTGCAGAGTGAATCCTGCCGAGCCGGGCCTGGCTCAGACCCAGGCGCCTGCATCGCAGGACTCTCCCAAGCAGCCACCTTCATCGCATTTACATGAGTGGAAGCCCCACTGAACTCGGCGTGGAAACGCGCACAGGGCTGAGCGGAGATCTTCAATGCTCTCTCGAAAATGCTCAAACTGGGGTTTTCCAGGTGTGGGCAAAGGAGAACGCTTCAAGCACCCCTTCAAGGCACTCCCTGGTGCCTAATTAGTACGAACAGAGACTGAAGCTATGAAGGACCTACCCTGGCCTAGTAGCTTCCCCCTTTTCACAGCTATGCCAACTGTGGTTACCTAATGGTATGAGGGAAGGCACTCTGTACATGCTTAGAGACCCTATCATCCTGTCACAAGTTCAAGAAACACTCACTATCCAAAACCAGGGAGAAGAGCCCCATTTCAGATTATACTTTGGCATTGTAAGGACACAACACCGCACAGGTTTAGACAGAAAAGAACCCTACGGCTCCCAGCATGAAATTCGCATAGGCCCTCAGCCCAGGTCTGGGAAACAACTGTATTGAAAGGAACCACATCCCTGGCCCACCCGGCAGCCTGGCAAGGCGCAACAGAGTCCAAACCGGCCCCTCCCCAATCACAAGGACAGCACCAAGGAAACGGCAGTCGTGCTGGAATTCGTTCATGCACAATGCAAGGTTGTGATTTTGCGTTCGCACCTTGATCCACTGGCAGCGGCAAGAAAACATGAGCACCAGTGGAGGATTTTCTGCCCCCTTTTTGGCAGCTGCACGGGCAGGGGGGAGCGAAAGGAGCCGAGGAAAGTGGCTGCACAGGAAGGCTTAAACCTCCCCAACCCACCCTGAGTGGCCCTGACCCCACTCAGAGACCTGCGCACTTACAATTAAGTTGAAAAAAAACAAAACCAAGACGCGCTGCCCACTGTGTATTTAACATAGCATGGCATTGAGCGCCCGGCTTCCCTCACAAAACGGACGCGCGGCAGTCTGCCATTCCAAATGCATTTCCACCACACCAAACCCCACTAATACAAAGGGTTTCCTTTCCCTTGAAGGAGAAGGGGAGGGAAGGGGGTCCTTCCCGGAAGCCGCAAACAAACAAGGCACCTGCTCCCAGTTGCCATGGCAATGCAGTCGAGGCCTATTTCTCCCTGCTTCTCTTCCCCTTCCAAAAAAAAAAAAAGCCCATCATTTTGTGCTGGCAAAGGATTTGCTGGCCCGGCCAGTAATCCCGCAATCAAGCCCGGAGGATGTGGAGGGAAAGCAGCTTAGCCGTGGCTGCCCCATCAGGGCTTTGTCTGCCCTTCAATCACGGCTGGGATTATGGAGAACCGGGGGCTGGCAGGCCCTGGCGCTCTCCGGAGGGCCCCTCAGCCCCACAGGCTGCCCTCAGCCGACCCACTGACATTGCCCATTGCGGGGTCCCCACATCCACGCTCAGGACAAGTTGAGCTGCGCCTTCTCTGCAGCAAAACCCAGTTTCCTGAAAGGGAGAAAGTGTGCCCAGGAAGCCCCGGAGAGGAGCAAAGCGCTGGGGGGCTGAGAGCTGTGGGTGCCTGAAAGCCAGCCGGGTGGGAGAGATCATGCTCAGGGGAGGAGCAGGGGCCGAAGGGAAAGACAGCTGGCAAAAGCCGACACCTGAGGCGTTGCTGCGGAGGAGAGAGCGGCGCATGATCTTCTGAACTGGGTTTATTACCTGCCACCTCCCTCAGGTTTGAGCTGGGTCACAAGGCTCGCTTGTATCACAGATCCCTCTACTCTTGGGCATTTGGTGGCATTTAATGTCATTTAATGGCATGATGGGGCCGTTGTGTCAGCTGTTAGTCATTCTAGGTTGTGTTGGCGTTGTTTTGGCTGTTACATCATTTTTAAATGTTGCACACTGAACAAATTTTAGGCAGTATGTTATTGTACCTGCGATCTGTGTTTTTTGTGAACCGTTGTGAACTGCAGAGAGCTCTGGCTATTGGGCAGTATCAAAATGGAATACAGAAATAAATAAAATATGGCTGGATGGCCAGGTGCCCTCTTTTACAGAGACCTATCCTCTACTGAAAGGACTCTCGTCCAATTCCAGTTTCATCGTACAGACCCATCAGAAATGTGGTCCGGCCACAGTTAGCTTCGGACTGAATAGGAAGGCAGGCACTTTTTCCCACTCTGGCAAGATTACTGTATTTCTGTTTAAATCAGCAATTAGCAAATTGGCAATTTCTAAAATCCCCATCCTCTGTTGTCCTCTTTTTTGGAGATGTGCATGCACACCAATTACGGACAAGTTCACAGAACATACAAATGGCATGAAAGGCTTAGATTTCATTCTCAGCTACCAAATTCACCCGGCCACCAAATGTCAGGCCAGCCTTAATAGCATCTTGCCAAAACACCATCCTCCTGCCCCCCCCCACCCCGCGACCCTCTCCGGGGCTGGTTCAAATGTGCATCTTTATTGCTCGATGGCTCTGCCCGCAAATGACAATCCTGAATGCCGTCACACCGTCCGGAAAGACGGGGCTTTTGCGCTGTGGTCTGAGGCATCCCAAACGCAACGCTCTTCCACGGGACGAGGTCGCACGTCCAGCTGCTGGTCACCATGCCATGCACAGCTGTGGATGAATCCGCCCCACAGTTCCGGGTTTGGGAGAGCGTCCAGGGAAAGGGGACGCACGATTATGTGCCCCCACCCACTTTTCCGCTCATCTCCTTTGCTACAGAAACACCTGCCCTCCTTCCCAGCTGCCCCCACTTACCTGGGTAGAAGTCCTTGGACTTGGAGAGCTTGATGGTGGCTCCAGTTTCCTTCTGCAGTTGGACGATGGTCTGGCCTCCTTTGCCAATGATGGATCCAGCCGCATAGCTGGGAATCAGGACCTTGAGGAAGTACTCACCGTCCTCTGCAAGAGAATGAACAGAAACAGGCTCATGTGCTGTGCCCGTGGGAAAGCCAAGCCACCTCCACAGCCATTTTGGGCCTGAGGAGAGGAACGGGGTGCCCCCCCCCAATTTCACAAACAAATCCCTATTGGAGCACAGCCTTCTTCAACATGGGTGGTGGGAGAGCCTCTTCTAGAAGACCAGATGACAGCAGGTTGGCTCAGGGAGCACAGAGCAGGTGGCATGGCACAGAGGTCTGGTGGGGCCAGCCCTGCCCAGAGACCATGCCACTATGGGGCAAATGCCAGCCCGGCTGAATTCCACAAACACTGGCCCATAATAAGGATCAGGTGCGTTGCTCAAGACCCAGTCCGGATCAGCTTATGGCATAGCAATGAAAAGTCTCGAAAAGTGGCAGGATAATGCAGCTGGAATCCAGCATGACATTGCTACGGGCAGAGCGTGGCTACAGGCCGTTTACTTCTTTGCAAATCACCCAGCCTAGTGCATTCCCCCAAACCCACAACGGTGCATCAGCCCACACTGCAACCTCATCACTCCTGCACCGCCATGGATCTACCAAAGTCGTCCAATCTGAGCTTTTGTTCAGGAAAAGCCAAAATTTGTTTGTTTGTTTGTTTACTCCATGTCTATACTGCCTAACAGCCAAAATACCCTGGGAGGTTCATAAAACAAAGCCTCGAACTATCAAATGCAGCAAACATAATATAAAAGCTTGAAGAATAAAAGCAAAATAAAAATGAGGTAAAGCCAGCGACAGTGCACACATCTATGAAGGCACCGTTGCAATTTTTGAAATGGCACAATGTCTTTTGATTGTCAGCACTGGAAGCGCTCCATCTGGAAGCATCCAAAGATACGTTACATAGAGCTGAACGCAAATTATTCTCCCCCAGCTTGCATCGTCTTCCCCTCCCTCCGTTATCTCCCCTCTGTTAATTGTTTTGGATCGGCTGCTCCTCTTGGCAGGGATGTGTGTTCTTGCTGTGACTCTGCAAAGTGCCACGCACATTGATGGTGCTCGAGCGAGAACTGCAGCACCCCACGCTGCTCCCTTTCCTCCTGGGAGTAGTTCCACCAGCCACACCAGCCCACAGAGCCTCCCCCACCTCTACCCCAGCCCACAGAAGTCCCTCCCATTCCATCTTCTGCCGCTTCCAGTGACTTCCAGGTCCCCCCGTGCTGACCCCACGTTTCCTACAATATGGTGCATGTGCGGCACTGGGCATATCCGCACACGCTCAGTAGGATAAAGGAAGCATGGCAGCTGGGACTTCAGGGTCCGGCCGCTATTCCGAGCAGCTGGTGTGTTGGGAAGGAGATGCTTCAGAAGATGCAGGTCTGCAGCAGCTTGGCCTCACCACAATTGAATAATCCCTGCCATGAACTATCGATTCAGAACGAGAGCTTATTTTTAAAACAAACTAACTAACAAACATGTGGCCGTGCTTCTTTATATGAGACTTACGCTGGCGGATTTGATAAGAGCTCGCTCACCTAGCAGCCTCAATTGCTCTGCTTAACGTTATTTTTAGACTGAATTCTGCACGGATTCAGTGGCCTGATGGCAGATATGTGGATATAATCAGGGAAAATCCTCCCACCTCACCATGTATTCATGCATGTGCACGCACATGTATCCTGATTGTGCAATGGCCAGAGAGATTCAAGCACCAAAGCTCTGGGAACAAACTCAAGGGAAAGGACTGCACCCCCATGCCTTTCTTGGGTGCTTCCAGAAGTATCTGGCCATTCTGAGCTGGAAGCAGAATGCAGAGTTGAATAAGCCTCCAGTCCGAAATCTGACTAGAAAACGAAAGTCTGAAAGTCTCCAGACTTGAGTGGGATGGTGATGGACAGCACCATGGCGGCACACGGACAGCTTCTGCTAGGGCGGTGCAGTGATTAAGAGTGTGGGACTGGGACTCCAGAGATCTGGGTTCGAGTCCCCACTCAGCCATGAAGCTCCCTGGGTGACTTGGGCCAGCCACAGACCCCCAGCCCATCCTACCTCACAGGGTTGTTGCTGTGAGGATACGATTCAGAGGAGGAGAATTATGTCGCTCCCTGGAAGGAAAGGGGGCAGGATATAAATATAATAAACAAACAAACCTAACTTCCTACCCAGCTATAATAAGCCAGCCCCTCTCCTTCATCTGGGAGCACCTATTTTTATCTGGCCCTGGCAGAGGGGTTGTGCCGCTCCTTTACAGAGCTTACCCGAGATACAGGCCTGACCTACTTATGCTTTCGGTTCCATGCTGAGGAAGATGATAATGCCAGGGCTGGAGAGAAACCCTGTGATAAGCGATATGGGCCCGCCGCTGTGTCCAGATTGTAAAGGCCCCCCAGGGCACTAAATCAAAGCCTTCAGTGGATGAGAACAGATCTCTCTCTCACGCTCTCTTTTCAAAAATGATGCTGCAGCAGCAGAGAGACCCAAACAGGCAGGCAATCTTCTCTCTGGCAGGCCAGGCATTCAGCTAGGTGAGTGCACGCCTGCCCCTTGCGGGGGCTCCCCTGCCCCCCCCCCCACTGCAGCCGGCTGCTTCACCCGCCTTTCACACTGGCCAGGCAACGGTGGCGATGAGGGGGGGCAGGAGATGCCGTGGCCCCCTCGCCCATCACCTGGCAAGCAGGCCGGTGCTAGGATGCTGAGAAGGAGGGTGCGCAGTTGGCGACAATGTCAATGAGAAGATGGACTCACGGATCAAAGGCCCCCTTCCTTGAGGAGGGTGTCTTGCCCAAGGGACCTCCAAAACCTGCAGCCAGGAGTGCCCAAGGCCCAACAGCCACGTGGCGCTTCCGCATCCAGGGGTTAACACGAGGCATTCTAATCTCAGGGTTGACTAATCACTTGCCATTTCTCCCAAAACCATCTTTTAAGGACCTCAGCTTCTGCCCATCCCAACTGTGAAGCTATGGGCAAATGTCGGTACGTTCTTATAAAAAGCGAATCAAGCACGATTTTCTCTGGCCTGCATGGGCCAAATTCGACATGCAGAGCTGTTCCCAACATGGAGAGGATTTATGGTGCACTGGCCTGCCGTGTAACTGTTAAAAATTAGGAGCCTGCCAGGAAAAAACAGGAAGCACCTGTCATTCAGCACCTTAGACGTGGCTGAACACAAAGGGATTTGAAGTCATTCTTTTAAAAATGGCACACTCAGTGCCTTTGCCTGGATAGATGCTTTCTCTCATCCACATAAAAAAGAAGAAAAATCTCAGTTCTGTCTGCCCAGTTTATGAAGAAATGTGTGGATTGTGGTAACTTTTAATGGAGGAAAAAACCTCCTCCAAAAAAAGCAAACTCATGCCCACCTCTACTAAGGTCATGGGGAAGTTCTCTTCCACAGGGCTGTTTGAGATGTGCTGCTAGGCTGGAAAACAGATGTCCAGCTTGCTTCCTGATCAGCTCAAGAGGCTTGGGCAAGAGAAGGTGCTGCTGGGCCGCATATTCTGTGCTGTGGACCAGACCATGCGCCTCCCTCTCGGTCACCTACCACGATGCCCCAAATCTGCCTGCCGGTGTGGATACCTTACCAGGACCTGCCATGCTGGGCCGCTTTGCCTGGAAGCTTGGGAAGCGCCGTCCCTCCATGGCAGGAGGCTTGCTTTATGCGCAGAGGGTCTTGAGCCCAATCCTGGCTTACAGCCAGTGGGAAGGGTGGGCCAGGAGGAGCCTCTTCCTGCACTTGCAGCTGCTGGGGGGTGCTAGGAGCTGTACGTAGCTCAACACACCGTGAAGCTGCCGCAGTCACGGTAGCACAGGCTGCACTGGTCTGGGTAGCCTTTGACGTGCCATATGGGAGTGAATGGACGGTAATAAGAGGGTGCTTCCAGATTGGGGGAGGCAAGTACTGCCAGTCCGAAGGCACCAAGGAGCTATTTCACCTCTTCCTCCTTAACAGGTTTTTGTGGTAAGAAAAAAAGGCAGAAGCAGCAGCAGGGAAATGTGGGAGTTATAGACAGAAGGCCACAGTTCCTGGACCCACCCACCGCGAAACTGCATGAATGAGTCGGGGCCACTGCGGCATAAGATCCCTGCCTAGGAGCAACCTGAGCAGCTGTTTTCCAGCCTAGCAGCACATTGGCTTGTAAATTGGTAGCCTTGCTGGTCTGATTCAGGGATTCCAGAACTTCAGCCTGTTCTGTGGGGGGTACTGTAAATTTCCAAGTGCAGACCACTGTCAGGACTGCCCCAGAGACACCCCCACCCCCAAGGAGAGCCCAAAAATACAGACGACTGCATGGATCAACACGAACAAACCAGGGCCAGCAGCTTCGTCTCTGCGAAATCTTTTCGGAGCTACCAGCTCTTAATTCCCCCTTCAAAGTCAGCAAAATACTTTCCGTTACAATGCGAAACAATAGACTGTGGCTGGGACAACGCATCCTGCTTCTCCCCAGATACTATGAAGCCTGTTCTGAGGGAAAGGGGAATTTCGGGGCGGGGGTGATGCCCGTGTCCCTGCGATGCACGAGGCGCCAGGGGTACATCCCTGCAAACCTTCGCTCCACTCCGTCACTGGGGACCAGAGCGAGGCCTGTGCCCAGACGCTGAAGGGGCTGCTGCCGCTGCTGCGACTGAGCCAGGAAGGGCCCGAGGGGCCTGCGTCCCGCTCTGCCCGCCTCCGTGGCTTGGCATCTGCCACGGGGCAGAACGATGGGCTGCCACTTTATATCCTGGCGAGTTATGGACCAGGTGAGTTTTCTGGACCAGCAGCTCACCGTAGCAGTGCCCCCCGAGCTAGGATGAAGAGATGGAGGGGCTTCTTCTAGCATAACACCCGTGGCTGGAAACAGGTCACTTGGTTTTGTGAGGCATCGTTTCCTCAATAGGCTCTAATGTGTGTTTGCTGCTGTAAAGCTATCCCCAGAAGCCTCTCCTTCCACCCCCAAATGTGTGTGTGGGGGAGACCCTGAAAACATATGACCTGTGAAAGCTTGTCTGAACACGAATGGCTGCCGTCAGACAAGATATAGGCAGCCTGTCAAA